CCTTCCTTCCCCCCTTCCTTCCTTCCTTTCTTCCTTCCACCCTTCCTACCTTCATTCCTTCCTTCCTTCCTTCCACCCTCCCTCCCTTCCACCCTTCCTTCCTTCCTTCCTTCCCCCCTTCCTTCCTTCCACCCTCCTCCCCTCCCTCCTCCACTCTCAATCTCTTCACCACTTTGCTCTTATCATTGCGATCGATAGTGAGGTGATTATTTTTCCTCTGACCTCACCCTTCACAAATCTCGCAAATACGGAAAACAAACAACACACACACACACAGCTAGTCTCAGAGGGTACAGTTGGGCTGATGCTAACCCACAGTTGCGAGGTTAGCGCGTGGCTCTACAGTGATCACGCGTCCAGCACAGACACACACACTTCATTACGCACATAAACGACGGCCGAAGGATCGCTAACGGAACGTGTTGTCACCATCGGGAGTGTGAGTTAGCATTTGGAGCGGTGTGACACACAAACACAACCTCCTCGACAGACCGTGACATCACCCAGCGCCGCTCTAACTGACTGTGGACATTGAATTTATACGGCTTTAAGTGCAGGGAATGATGGGAAATTTTCTCCCCTCTCAATGTGACAGACGACCTTCTTAATGTAAGGCGCAACATTTTGTCAAGTCCAGAGGTGTAAACCTTTTTATTTTGTTTTTTCTTTATTAAAAAAAGAATGTTTTTATATTTTATTTATCACTGAAGAAGTTCTTTCAGTCACGAATAAATTTAATCACTGACACAATGAACAATGAAAAAGAATTTAATTATAATTACTTTTTCTCATACTCTAAATCTGTCCTAACTTTAGTCAGATGTTTTTTTAATTGACACAAATAAAAAAAAAAAAATCAGTTTTTAACAGATATTGTTGTCATTTGAAATAGCTCTACACAGTAATATTTTCAAAGTGTATTTGCAGTATAAAGGACGTCCTCTAGGGGGCAGTTAAAACAAAATAAAAAAACCTAACATTTTGAATTAAGTTAAACCATACGTATCAAACTCAAGGCCCAGGGACCAAATGCGGCCCGCCAAGCCGTTTTATGTGGCCCGTGAGAGCTTAGTAAAGTCCATGCAGCAGAGTTTCTTGACCTAAATAATCTAAAGTTTTATAATCAATCAAATAATAATCAATTGCACAAACATGTATCAGTTAGAAAAATCAAACCTCTTTTAGACTCTGTTTGGATCAGAGTCTGAACGACCTGTTATTTTAAAATCAGATTCTCTTTAAATAAAGACAGTAAATGGATATGACTGGACTTTCTCTGAATGAAGTAAATTAGGAACAATGAAGTACATGTTTTCACTGTGGCCCGCTACCAAATGACCTACGGGCTGGTACTGTATCGTGACACGGATTGTATAGGCAGATTTTTTGCGCAAAAAGTGACTAAAAGTGGTAGTACTAGATAAATGATGATGGCGTGAGGTATTTCCCTCTTAAAGTGTTGCATTTGTACTTGGATAAATGCGGCACTGACGTCTACCTGGTACCGTTTGTGTTTCAGCTGTGGTTTGTGCGACTTTCTCTTCTCACTAAGCTGAACCTCTTCCAAAACGCTGAGCTGGAGATTGAACCCTTTGGCAACCTGGACCACCCAGATCTGTACTACGAGTACTACCCCACAGTTTACCCTGGAAGGAGAGGTACACATGTTAATGCCTTGGATTATGTATCATTGACACGTCTTATTTATAACTATTATGGGATGCAGAGTGCTAAAAGTGCCCGGTTGTGACAAATGCTTTCATAGAGTCAGTGGAGCTTTTGTAAGACTTGCATATTGTTTCGTAACACATTTCACATGTTCAGAAGCTGCGTGGTAAATCCTCACGCTGACCTCCGAGATGATTATATGGAAGTGCTCCAAGTCTGTGAATTTTAAATCTTGTTATTAGCCTGCTCTTAAAAAGGGACTCTGCATCTGGCCCACGTTTAGGAAACACCAGCGTTCTATTAAATATTCAAAGGAAAGTTAGTGCCAGGAGCCTGATGTAAGGCTGCAGCCTCACAAGGCTCTAACTGCTCCGGTCTGCAGCTCTTTGCTTTTGTTTTTTCTTCTTTTTTTCGACTGCTCTCTAATGTATTCCTATTACTTTGGATCTGCTTTGCCCCTTGAGCTACTACAATGAATGGAGTACACTCAACTACACACACCCACACACACACACACACACCTGCACAGATAAACACTCCGATGAGGACGCCAGTTGACTCTGCGTTGCTCAGTATCAAATGCTCTTGTGTCCTTCTGGCTGCTTTCTTCAATTCCTGCCGGTATATCAGCGTTGTCTTCCACTGAACAGGCCGAGATTTTAGTCTATCATAAAGTCAGGTAAACTACAGGATTATTATATTTTCCGTACATTTCTCTTTTGTGAGACTTGAGACGTTTGGTGGTGACGTGGGCGTTTTCCTGGTGATATGTATACGTATGTGACGTGGCTCAAAAAAGGTCGAGAAACACTGCCGTAGGACGACAGTTGGACATTAAGAAGAAAATAAAATCAATTTGTTGAAATATGAGTTTTTACACCTAATGTTAATCCCCACTTGAAAGCAATTAGTCTTTTTTTTTTTTGTTGTTGTTTTTTTTTCATCCTTTTCTGGCTCATGGCTTTTGTGGTGCCCATCTGCCACCAACTGTTGCAGAATCACTGTGAAATAATGGAGATTCAAACCAGTAACAGTGCGGTGGAGCTAACGTGCCCTCTGTGCTCCAACACCTTTACGTCCACACACTGTCTTTGTATTTACATTTGACGTTTGTTTAATTCATTGAACTTTAATCTTTAGTTCATTTCTTATAATTCATGTGGGTTTTTTTTTTTAAACTCTTAGAGGTCAGTGGTTCAATGTTGTCACAGTGATTGCTGTCAGACAGATACGGTTCTGGTTCTGGTTCTGGTTCTGTTGTGGAGTCGGAGAACCTCGGTGCTTTCTGATGAACCAGCCCAGTTTAAGTGGAACCAAAGTTGGGCGTAGGTCACGTCGCCCCAGTTTCAGCTGAGTTTATTAATAATTAGATGACGTCGGATATCATCGGCTCCATATTAGCCTACCTGTGAAATATACGTAAGAATCGTTATCGGTTTTTCCTCCGATAATGAAAACCCGATAACACAATGCCTGGGTTTCGCCAAATAATGTGTGACCTAAAACTAGTTGAAAATCCTCGCCGACAGACCAATCAGACGCCTCAGCGCTGGGAAGAACTTTTATTGACACACAGTTGCAGTAACCGGTTCTGAACAACTTTATTGCTCTGAACCCAGCGTCTCCAGAAACACCTTCTCACCCCCCCCCCCCCCCCCCCCCCTCACTCCCCCAAACTGTTAACCCCTTCATAACCCAAAGGAACCCATTTACAGCCATGGTCTCTGTTAGAATGCAGTCTTTTCAACGTATCCACATGGAACTTGGCCAGTTCAGCATTTTCCATTCTCCTGGTTTTACTTTTTTTTTTTCTGTTTTGAAACAGTTGATTTGCTGCATTTATGCTAAAGGATTTCAATAGTCAGACGTTTGTCTACTGACCTGAGCTCCAACAACACAAAGCAGAAGATACGAGCAGTACAACTGGTCTGTTGTTGGAACAAAGACGACTCAGATCAAGTCTGTGGTACAGTTGTTGGTGTCTCTGACGTCTTGGTTCATTTGTTATTTTTGTTTTAATTGGAAACCTTTAAATCACCTGTCAATAAATACTGAAACATGTAGAAAAACAAAATGGAAATTTTATCCAGGTAATGGTTAAAAACCCCCAACAGAGGGCAGGCTTCCAAAGGGTGGTGAGAGGAGAGCTGACGGTGTTCTTATTAGCCAGATTAACTTTTTGCAGATATATCCCGATACGGTCCAAACGGTTAATTTCCGACATCAACCGATACCGATATATGCAGCCGTTTGGGCTAAAGCCGAGGGACACGTTTCATTTCATCCTGTGCAGTGGTGTCACAACGACAACAAATCCGTTTGACTTCAGAACCCAGCTTTAGATCACATCATCGTTGTGTTGTGGAAAAACCCCTAACGATTCGCTCCCACGTTGAATAATTATGCTAATATCGGCCGATGATGTGGATTGGCCGATATTAGCAGACATCACTCGTTTCAAGACAGAACTGTATCTACAGACCCAGACGGAGGAGCTGGTTCTGATCCGATCACTGTAACACAGAGGCTGTGTGTGTGTGTGTGTGTGTGTGTGTTGTGAGGGAGGGGGGGTGAGGCAGTGTGAATGATGTTGAGGCAGAGAGGCAGACGGAGGGATGAGGCGGAGACATGAGTGATGGAGCTGTGCAGCTCGCCCAGAGAGAGAGAGATGAGAGGGTTTAATAAGCAGCCATACGTAGCTCAATGCCATCTGTAGGTTCCTGCCTCCAGGGCTGTATGCAGTCTGTGTGTGGGTGGATGGGTTTATGTTCTCATCTCGTGCTCTCTCTCTCTCTCTCCCCCCCCTCCCTCTTCTTTTCCTCCCTCGTTCGGCTCCCATGTCCTCATCCCACCTTGTTTCTCATTTCCCCCTTCCTCCTTACACGTCCTCTCTTCTCTTTCTCTCCATCTTTTTTTTTTTTTTTCATCTTGTTCTCCTTCCTTCCTGTCCAGGCTCCATGGTGCCGTTCTCCATGCGGCTGCTACATGCTGAGATCCCCCAGTACCTGGCCAAGCCCCAGGAGGCTCTGGACCGCCTGCACAATCTCAAAACAGTCTGCCTGGCTGTTAGTATACACACACACACACACACACACACACACACACACACATACACACACACAGAGAGAGAGAGAGCCTCTGGACGAACATAAAGATATGCATTCTCTGTAGCATTGGCACAATTAAACACGCCCACAGACAGAGACATTCAGCATGCTAATCCTCCGGCCCACCTGTGTAAACAGCTGAATGTGCTTGGATTTCAGACTTACTGGATATGAATATTCTAATACACAGGCATCAGAAATCCTCCAGAGAAGGAAGGGAAAAACATTTTCCTTTTCTAAAGTTTTTCTTTTGTTGTTGTTGTTTTCCATATTGAAAGATCCTGGAGAACTTGGAGAAAGGCTTGGCTGAGGATGGCTCCATGATCACCCTGGCACAGGAGAACGTTCAAGGTAAGAACGCACACACACACACACACACACACACACACACACACGTTTGGCTCCGACCCGGCCACAGGTTCAGACCTCATCAGGCTGAAGGAGCAGCGTGAGGTCACTGGGCCCCAGTGGGGAACACACTCAGAGGCACTGGGGCAGAAGAGCATGTGGTGCAGGACTGCAGCAGACCGTACCAACCTCCATGGACACACCAGTGCACCTCACTGCTCCTGCACTCACACTGAATATCAAATGGTCTCTCCAGCCCTGCACGCCAGGCAGATCCATGACCGTCCAATCCACTCGCATCTGCATCAGTCAGCCGGGGAAATGGGCTCCTTCATCTGAAGTTCACTAGGTCTAGGTAGAAACACCCCCATGAGCTAACGACAAAAGTCTCCTCCCCTCTTTACTCCCCTCTACTTTCCTCCCCTGTTTCCTCCCCTCTTTCCTCCCCTCCTCTCCTCTTTCCTCCCCTCTTTCCTCCCGTCATCTCCTCTTTCTTCCCCTCTTTCCTCCCCTCTCCTTTTCTTTCCTCTTTCCTCCCCTCCTCTCCTCTTTCCTCCCCTCATCTCCTCTTTACTCCCCTCTTGTTTCCTCTCCTCTTTCCTCTCTCCTTTCCTCCCCTCTTTCCTCCCCCCTTTCCTCCCCTCTCCTTTTCTTTCCTCTTTCCTCCCCTCCTCTCCTCTTTCCTCCCCTCATCTCCTCTTTCATCCCCTCATCTCCTCTTTCCTCCCCTCATCTCCTCTTTCCTCCCCTCCTCTCCTCTTTCCTCCCCTCATCTCCTCTTTCCTCCCCTCTTGTTTCCTCTCCTCTTTCCTCTCTCCTTTCCTCCCCTCTTTCCTCCCCTCATCTCCTCTTTCCTCCCCTCATCTCCTCTTTCCTCCCCTCATCTCCTCTTTCCTCCCCTCATCTCCTCTTTCCTCCCCTCATCTCCTCTTTCCTCCCCTCATCTCCTCTTTCCTCCCCTCTCCTCCTCCCCCTTTGTACAACTCACTCTTCTCCACCTCAGGTTGTTTGAAGCTACAGTTTGACGTCACTTCAGGTCAACAAACTCGGTCCAGTCTTTCTGTCCAGGAGAACTAAATGAGGGGGGCGAGGGTCAGCACGTGTACACAGACGTGCTGGACTGTGTGTCTGACACCAGAGTCATGGCTGTGCCCTGTGTCCATGCAGTCAAGTCAGTGACACAGGGCCTTCCTCCACTGAGTGATTAGCTCTTCTCTCCAACACATACATGCACCGATGAATACTGATGGGCTGGCACACTGTCTGAGAGG